GGCGGGCACGCTCGGCTTTGGACGCGCGTTGAGCCCCGCAGCGCCGCCACTCTCCACCCGCACCGTCTCCCTGCCAGGCGTCCCCCATCCATCAGGGTCATTATCCCTGAGCGTGCGACACTTGGAGCACCCGCATGGCTTCGGCGTCGACGAGCGCGAGAGCCTGCTCAGTTCGCGGCTGTTATCGCTCGATGCGGATAATGACTTTACGCCCACACTCGTAAAGCACGCCAATGCCACATCCCACACTCGCGACTCATTATCCTCCGAGCCGTCCACCGCGGCCCTGCGCACAAGTCTACCGGCCAGTCCGCCGCAGGCTGTACCAGGCAGTGTAGGGACAAGACACGCGAGGACCACGAGTTTCCCCGTGCAGAGCGCCAGCGCGAGTCCGGGGAGGCCGAGCGTTAGTGGGAGTAGTCGAGAGTATGGCCCGATTCCGGGTGCTGCGGCCAGGCTTCGAAAGGAGAGTACCGGCAGCGTCAGGAGTGGAAGTGCGGCTGTGAGTACCTTCTCTATTATCTAGATCTTATCCATCTACGAGATCTCCCTCATAATCGCCACATCTACCCTGTCCCGACTTTGTGTCGCTTTGCCCCGCGTAACCATGATGCTTATGCTCTACTATGCGTTACAGGACTTGCCATCTTCACCCGGACCTCTACCTATTCGCCGACCACAGCTGAACCCTCTCAACCCGTTCAAGTCCTCGACCCTGTCTTCGTCTCCCTCGATCAACAGTCCCTCTCCCTCCCTCCGCGGCGGAACACTTCCTTTACCCTCCAGACCACACGCCTCACCTACATCAAGTCGTCAAGAAGCAATGAACACCGTTCCCCTGCCCTCCCTGCCAGCCTCCATAACCTCCTCGGGCCTTGCCACAGGCGGCATCCAAACAAGCACCGGCCCCATCCCAGCCCGTCAAGGTCCCGGAAGACCAAGCCCACCTGTTCCCACATCAGCAGGACTGCCGGAGGGCGCAGGTCTACCTGGTAGCGCAGGAGGCAGGAGTATCGAAGGCGGCGGCACGAAACGCTACTCAAGCTCCTTCGGCCACCGCCGACAACGCGACTCCGGAGAGGTCTCTACCGGAGGTGTACCAGGAAGCATCGGGGCCGGAGGGACAGGCGGACCGGGGAGCATGGGCAGTGGATCGAGCACGGGCGCTCTACACGGTTCGCGAGAGAGGCGCCCGTCGGCGCCGGCAATCTCCGCCGCTGCGGCTGCAAGCGCCGGTCTCGGTGGCGCGGGCAGCTTCGAGGACGACGACCTGTCGACGTTCGTGTCGCTCACGGACGCGCCGCGGCCGCTGAACAGGCATTATCGCGCGTCGACGACGGACCCGTATTCGCCGGCTGAGCTGGCTGCTCAGGCTGCTGATCCGGGGTATGCGGCTTCTGCGCAGCAACAGGGTGCGGGGCTGGGGAGACGACCGCCGCATGTGCGCGCGGGGAGCTTTGGGAGCGCGCATTCGCATAGTCAGCCTGCGTCGCATGCTGGAAGCCCACTACGACCTCCGGGCAACATCTCGCCGCTCGGCTCTCCCGGCTTACCCAGACGCGCGTCGCCGTCTATCCCGCCTACCACCTCGTCTCCGCGTGTCGTCGATATCACTTCGCCCACGGATGCGGGCAATGCGCTGGGTCTGGGAGGGATTGGGGGAGGGGGCATGGGGATGAGTCGGCAGATGCTGACGAGCCAGGCGGCGATCGATGCGCAGCTTAGTAGTATGAACGATCAGTTTGCGGAGAGTATGCGGGCGCTTGGGAGTCGGAGGCGCGAGAGGACGCAGAGTAGTCCGGGTCCTTCCACCTTTGCCTCTACAGCGGCTGGAGAGGGGAGTGGGAGGGCGGGGTTCACGGGCTTCAGGCGCGCGGACCGCATAAGCGAGGTCACGGAGGAGAGCACGACGGGCACGGCTACGAGTACGGCGTCGAGCTCGAGGGCGTATGGGGGAGGGAGCGGGGGCAGGAGCGGGAGCACGAGTAATGCGGGGAGCGTGAGGGGCGGGTATAGTGGGTCGAGCGGGAGCTTGAGGAGGCCGGATAGTGTGGGGAGTGAGGAGGTTATTGGAAAGCTGGAGTTGGACCGCGGGGATCGGGATAGGCGGTGATCTGTATGCCCTCCTTCCCATTGCCCTCCTTCCCATTGCCCTCCTCCCCATCGTTGACTCCGATACTGTTGTGTCGCGTTTTGTGTGTGAATATCTTGTGTCCCCGACTTCGGAGCCGTCCTGCTATTGTCTACTGTCTATATGTACAACTAACACTATCCCCTGCCCTCATCATCCTCGAACCATGATCACCGTGACGTCCATCAATTCTTATTCACGACTGCTAGTACGCTTTCAGACGGACTGTGGACCGTGTTCGTAATCTGTAGATGTGCCTTGTTACATACTTTGCCTGTTGCCTGATCATGTCATCTTTTGTCTTTTGTCTATTGCTATTGATACTATTTCATACATCTGTCCAAGTACCAATTAGGGCTCACGTTGCCCACTGCAGTGCTCGCAGGAGCTCCGCATGCGACATGACATTCTCCTCTTCGCCTGGCTCGGGCTCCGGATGAGCACTCGTCACACCATCGTACTCGTAAGCTCCCTTGAGATTCTGCCAGTCCCCGTGCAACTGTCCAGGAAATATCGTATGCAGGTGCATCTGCGAGGCGTGCCTTCCGACTGGGATCTTGTCCTTGACCTCTTGCAGAGCGCGCTTTACTCGATCAGACTGCGCGATGTCTGGCTTCCATTCCCCGACATCTGGGTCAAGAACCCATGAGATGTCCTTGTAGAAGGATATCTCGCGCGCGGCGGTGAAGGCGCGGGAGAACCAGCGGCATAGTCTCGCTTGTTCGCCTAGGAAGCACTGGACGCGGTCGAAGTCGTAATCCAAGCCGTACCCGCGGACGACAAGCTTGATACTCTTCACTGTCGTGTTTGCCGCCGCCGGTAGTTCTGACTCTGATCTCAGAGTCTCTTGGGGGAATCTCTGATGAGCGATGCATAAGCAATTGGTTTCACGTATCAAGAGCAAGCAGAACTGACCAAGGATCGGCTTCCGACATAGATTGTCAAGCTTTCAAGAAGCACGTCCGCGAAATAAGAGCCACGGACCAGATTGTCGAAGGACAGCGAGCCGAAGGCGAGGTGCTGTACGGGTACCGCGGAATGGCTCAGGTCGGGGTCGGGTGCCTGTAACACGAACCTCTCCGGCTCATAGTGAAACAGATCCCCATTGGCGTACAAGAACTGCGACATGAGATCAACACTACGCACAGGGCGTCCGCGGATGAGGTCCTTGCAAAAGCTTTCCGGACATTGCACGGTGGTCAGATTGGGCAGAGCGGACTGTGGAACGGCGACGAGTTGCCGAGCGACTTCACGTGCTATGACGTGGTCGCCCACATCCGGGCCAATCCTGATGAGGCTGGTGATGCGCAAGGCCCGTATGAATGGTGTCCGGGCCAGGAAGTCTCTCAGTATCGGCGATGGTGCACAAGGGATCTGTGTCGCAAGCTCATTCAGAGCGTCGAAAGACACATCTGCCTTTTGCGCCAAGGCAAATGTCAGAGTCCAATGCGTCGACTCGAATGCCTGTACGGATGGCGACGAGATTAGGACGACCATCGCATCGATATAGTCTTCGAAGCCACGATTGTGGCGGAAGTGAAAGTGTGTCCATGGTGTGCTTGGCGGCTCGATCGGGTATGGATCCTCGGCATCCTCGAATTCCGAGAAATCGCATGTCGATATGGAGACCCGCTCGAGTTTACCGAGGTAAGCTACTGTGTCGAAGAACGAGCGACTGATGGTGACGTCGGTCAAGTCCAACTCTTGGAGGTTGGGGAAGGAGCTCAGGACCGGAATGTATCGAGCGAGGAGTGCAGATGTGACCCAGTTGCTTCCTGTGTCCGCGTGCGGAGATGTTTGCCAATCACGGAAGGTGAGCTTCTCTATATAGGCACGAAGACTGTGCGCAGGGAAGGGGTAGTCCTGGATACTGCGGATGAAGTCGACGTGTCGAGGGGCCGTGCTGTGTATAACAAGATGACGGAGGCGTAAAGGGAGAAAGAGGGCGCGGAAGAAGCGGCAGACGGGTATGAGGCTATCATAAACGGCTTTGGCCTCGTCTTCAGGACAATCCCGCGGCGACAACAAGTATTCGAAGATCATCGCGAATACCTCATTGGGCAAGTGTGATAATGTACGTCCGTCTTTCGATCGTTTTGGGGCTGAAGGTGTCTGTCAGCCTGCAATGTTGGCGTCTACATGCGAACAGACGTACGATCAAATCGCAACCTAGACAGGTGAGCTTGCGTGAGTCGCGCTTCGCTCAGTTGCGCGCTACTCAGCAGCTTATTGGGAGACATATCCTATGTCTAACAACGTCCGGAAGAGAGCAACAATACTGGTGCAGGTAGTCCTATTGCTCAACGGTGGTGGTGACCGGTGACCGATGAAGTCGCGTCGAGGCACGCGCGCTTCGGTGACGCGCTCTCATCGTGACAGCGAGACGTTGATCGTTATGTAACGCGGCAGACCCGGCCCACATCTCACCTTGCCTCCTCCCTCCTCCACTAGGCGTCTTAATCTCACTGTCAAGGGGCGGAGCTGGCTGATGGGCGCACATATACACTATGGATCTATTCTTGTAACGGGACTAGCGGAAGTCATGGACGCCTTTGTACCGACGCACACGGCAAGATCGCGGCACCGACATTCGCGCGAGGGACGGGCTGCGTTTACTGATAAAGACCCAAAGCGGCGAACTCAACGCTACATAGGCCACACATGTAACAATCTGGGCGCATCATCTCCTCCTGATTAACGCCCATCAACGTACCTTCAACCCCGGCCTCTGTATCATCTATCGCATTGGCTGTGATCATGTTTGCTTCTGTGCGGCCTGATACCGGGCAAACGACTGCGTAGCTATCGCGGCCCTCTCGAACATACACTTTATGCCCTCTATTGTACAATCTTCTACAATGTCGGAGGAACGTAACGAAAGCGACGCAGGAGACGAGATCCGGTCGGCCCTGTTCCTGCTGCCTTCTTCAGGGCGATCGGACTGGAGGGTTTCTGGCTATGGAGCATCACGACATCCGACAAAGATAGCGTCGTACCAACCATGCACAGAGCACAGCGAGGCGATGGACCGTCGCCGAAAACACGTTGTGGTCATATAAAGCTTGGCCGCTCTCTAACGCCGGGCGCGAACGCGGTCTTGACCCTGCAACCGTCCGCAACAACTTGCGTCGAATGGCCGGCGCTGTCTCCCTCCACGCTAATGTGCTGGCTGCTGCCGTCTCGGCACATGCGGCTCGTAAAGCGTGAGCACTACTCTCTTCACGATCTCAATCGCCAAGACTAATCCGAATCAGGCAGATCGGCATGTACGTGGGCGTAGCGCGAGTAGGTGAATCTTAATTCGAGATTGGATGGTAAACAGCACCCCAGAACTCACGGCGATCTGTATAGCGCTCATCGTCTACGATATCTTGATATGCCTCGGGCGCGAGTCGCGCTACGTCTGGAATACGAAGTTCCGGGTGTCCAGCGTCTTGTACTATGCCGTTCGCTACCCAGTACTTGCGTATCAGATATTCTCCATCGCATATACGCCGACAACCCCTCAGGTCAGTTGTGCATCACCTCGACGCCATTGCTCATGAGCTGACCCATCCCCTAGTGAGCATTTGCAACATTCACACAGTAGCTTCAAGTCGGATTGTGCTGACATCCCCGACAAGTTGCGACACTATCAGTCAATTCTGCTTCACCTTATCGACTACATTCACACGCATTGCTATCGTCTGTGGGTATAGCTCTTCCTAGTTGGGAGGTCCTGTCACCTAATACAGTCTTGACAGTATCCTTCATCATGCGTGCATATGTTGTTGTACCCAAGGTGTTCATTGCCTACCTCGCCATTGGCTTTCTCGCTGTTGTCGGCCTCATGTCGATCATTCTGGACGTGGTACGCTACTCGGACCAGCCAACCATCGACGTCTTGGCTCACTACGCATGATGACCAGGTACAGACTGCCCAGATGTCGTGCACTGAAGCATCCAATCCTTTGTAAGTGCGCGCATCGCTCTTGCATAGTCTCACACTTATGCCCCATTGCTTAGATGTATGCCAGTGACTTCCCTCCGCGAGTGCGGCTGATGTTGACAGGCCGCCTCCAGCATTCGTTGTTACCTTCCTGTCTCTACTGGTCTTCGACGTGCTCTCGTCGGCTCTGATAACTTGGGGCGTCATCCGCATGATCTCAGATATGGGCGGATTCAGGCGTCTGAGCTCTCAGCATATCGGCAAACTCATCATCCGTTCCGGCGCTCTATACTTCTTGTACGTCTTTCCTCAGAGATCGCCAGCACCGTCTGACAAACGTGAACAGCATCATCACAGGCTTGCAAATAGCATCTATAGTCATCTATTGGGTGCGTTCTAGTCTGACTCTCCTTTCTTCGAGCTGTTACTGATCCTCGATTCAGCTTCCGCAGGGCGTATACAGCTTGGTCCTGAACAACTGGCTGATCACGTAATGAAGCACACATTTTGAGCACAGGTAGTCGCTGACTCGTCCTGTAGGCTGTCTGCGGTCCTTGTCACGCACTTCTTACTCGATCTGAGGGAACTCGTACACGGCCGCACGGAGAACTCGGGTTCCTCTTCGAACCTACCGACTATGGCTTTCGCAAAGTCGCCGGGGGCAAAGAAGGACGGCTTCGACATCAGTCTCGGACTAGTCGACGACTTCACGGATGATACGTTCGAGTTGACAGATACGAGTGGCGTGCGGACTCAAGATGACCGGGAGTGGGCACGTCATGCCGGAGGGGATGAGTCTGCGCAGGTTACGTCCATGGCTTGGCCGCTTGAGGATCTTGCTGCAAGAGCACGGAGAGTCGAGGAGGAGCTAGGGTTTACGGAACAGTTGTAACTTTGCCTTGCATATACGCTATATAACCGCTACATCGCACAGTCACCCGTTATGATCATCTTGAGCTTCCAGGCCGCAGTCACTGCGGTCGGAAGTGAGATCCTTCTCTATATTTACGTACGTAGAACTAGAAGTGGCACCACTATGGCTTGCACCATAACTCTGATGAGTAGAGTCCGACTCGCTAGGCGCAAACTGGCCGACACTGGCGCGCACTTGAACACGCGCCGCGGGCCGTATGCGGCGTCATTGTCCCACGACGGGTATCACGGTTAGTACGTACGAGCAATGACCTCAGCAACTCATCCTCCGACGTCGATCATGCTTTGACGGCCTCACTCGGGCCCCGTGTAACGGTTTGCAACTGGCTCTTCCCGCTCCTCTCATACTATGCTTGAGTGCCTTGAAGGCCTTCCTACGCACAACGGGCCGACGGCGACTGTTCCGAGAGCATCAAGACACATCCCGTCATGCAATTACTTGTGGCCCGGGGTGAACCAACATTTTGTTCCGAGCGCGTTGAACGTATACTAGGCGCACGGATTCCCCAAACACGCCACGCCACTTCTCTTCTTCCGCTATCATGGCGGACGCATCCAAGCCTTCGAAAGGCGTTGCCCAGCGGCTGCTGGGCGTCGTTCCGGACTGGGTGTCGAGTAATCTGACGTCGTCGCGATCTCTGAAGACTTGGTTTCGCGCTTGGCTCGCTGCATGGGCTGCTCTGATACTCTTACTCCCAAACGCTTCGATCACGACCATGGGGAACACGTATGTGCTCTATGATGCACCAGTCATTGAGCAATGCTGACGCGCACGTCTTCACCAGGGCATTCTACGCGTTACTCATGGGCACTGCTTTTATACCCGCGTCTGCTCCTATCCAGCTGTTCCTCATCGTGCGCCCGCGTTTGCTCTCGTCATGGCCCCCTATAATAACAGTGTTTAGATGCTGGTCACTGCGATAGGCGGAACATGCATGGGATGGGCGTTGGGAGCCGCCGCAATGCGGGCGGCATTGGCGGCCCGTGATCAACATCTCTTACAGAGTACGCTCTTGAAGGCTCAAGAAAGGCAAGTCCCTTTTCACCCAGCATAGCGATGGTAGCAAGCTAACCCAAATTAGTGCCGCGGGTTACGCGAACCCTGAAGCCGTGATACAGTTGGACGTTTTTCAGGGGCTCTTTCTGGACACTCGGTATGTCATGAAGTATCTCAGAGCAACCCTACACCGCTCATGCCCCCATCATAGATCTTCTGTCGTATACGGTGTCTTTCTCATCGCCGCATGTTTCTTCTTTGGACTAGTACGAACCTATGCGCCACCACTGATTTTTTTCTCGCTGTTCGGAACGATAGCGATTGATATCTTCTGTGTGAGACTGCTCCAATCTGCGTTCATGGTACTGTCGAGATGCTGAGCCTCCTCAGACGATCGGGCCCTTATTCCCTGCACCTCAGTATCTGATACTGAATAGTCTGCTCATATCGGCGGCGATGTACAGTGCCATCGCCATCTTTGTCATCATCTTCATCTTCCCGCAGACCGTCAATCACGCCTATCTGTCACTGCTTTCTCGTTTACTGGGTGTCGTCACGGCCGTCATGTCTGTGCAAAACGAGATACTGCTAGACTCCCGTGGAATGGGTCAAAAGCTTGAGAAAGCACAGACACTCCGAACAGCAATGTTCGCTCTTCTGCGCGGCCGTGAGTCCTCACTTGAGTGTCTCTATGCATGTGCTGATTATTGTGACAGTGAAATCGCAAGCTGGCTTGCTTAACGCCGAGTTCACGTGGGGCCGCATGAGCGGAGAAGATGTCGCAAGCTTCCAAGACCCCTTGACAGACGTCGTCGCGCGACTCAGTACGGCATTTGCGTCCCATTCATATGCATGCTCTGACATATCAGTGTACAGACGCCTTGATGGTGTTCGTGAAGTTGTCGCACAAGTCGTACACCCGAGCGCGAGGCACGCCGACTGAGGACAACGACGACTCTGACTCCGAGAAGGCATCAGATGGCTCATCGAAAGCATCACTTAGGTCCATTCCCTCGACTACGGAAACATACCTGATCCAGCAATGGCGAACACGGCACACTGCGATTCAAGAGGAACATCATCTGCACTTCGCGGACCTACTTCCTGTACTTCAATCTACGACGGCGGACGTGCGCAAGAGCATGCTGGACGGCATCTCTGCTGTTCAGGCTTCCCTTGCTTTCGCCAACGAAAATCGCTATAGAACGCCTTGGACGAAGCGCAAGGACTCCTCCGTCATCGACTCGCAGCTTGACAATGCCTGTGATGCTTTGAGCCAAGCACTGAAGGAGTTCAAGGCTACTAGGCGTCTAGAGCTACTGGCCCCTTATCAGACGGCACTGCAATCCCAGAGCAAAGGAATCCCTATGCTGCCAGGCTTGCATGTGAACTACGTCTACTCTGCTTCACTTGTACTGGTGGCGGAAGCCGCGCTAGCTCTCACGGAACATGTACGCACACTGCTGTCCCAACGCGCGCGTAATCGTCTATGGGCACCGACCGGGCTTCGAGCGCTTGCCCACGCCATGACGAAGCGCCCCGTTGAGGAAGAGGAGGAAGTTGCTGCGCAAGAGGATGTTCCTGTTGGGCAGACGGACTTCGCAAGTTATAGTGAGTCCGGCCCAGCAACATCCACGAGGAATCTGTCTCACCGCTGCCTTAGGGAAGGACCCTGACACTCGGTCTGTACGCGGGCCGATTCAACGATTATTCTCTACTATGCGCCAGGCATACGCGTGGTCTTTCTCTCCAAATGGTCTTGTAAGTGGTCCGCTGCTTTTCCCCTTCTTGCACTAAAGACTCCGTAGTATGTCCTCAGGTACTGCGTTGTCACCTTTGCGTTATGGCTCCCTGCCGTATTTAAAACCTCAGCCGGTGGGCCGTCCGCGCTGCTGCATCGTTTGCGATAACTGACGGGGTCTTGATCAGAGTTCTACTATAAGCAGAAGGGTGTCTGGGGCTTGATCATGGTCAGCCTTCGTGGTTTTCACTGGCGCATCTCTGACTCGATCGTCTGCAGGCTCAAATGACTATTGGTTACTTCATAGGCGAGCACCTATCGGTGTACGTATGCTTTTCTCCAATATGCTTGGGCTTATTCAAAGCTCACGCTGAATGGCCAGCTATTTTACACGCATACTCGGAACCATAGCCGGACTTGTGGTCGGATTGCTCATATGGTATATCGGTGAGCATGAGCCATCGTTCAATACGATGCGATACTGATCATGCACAGGAAATGGGCATGGCACGGGAAATCCCTACGGATTTGCAGCTAGTTCCGCCGTGTTTCTCGCGCCACTGATGTTCATTCGTGTCTTCGTACCTGCAAAGCACATGCCATCTGCCTTAATACTCAACGTGCGTCTCTCTTTTTCTGACTGGGGCTCATTCTGATACGGCCATTGCAGGCGACAGCAGCCCTGGTCATCGGCTATTCATGGTTGAATACGCACTTACCAGTCATCTCCTTTGGTTACGGCTGGAGCATTGCCTGGCGCCGGTTTCTACTCGTAGTTATCGGCTGCGTAGCATCCTTCATCGTCATGTTTGTTCCACCGAAGAGCGCGCGCAAGGCGGTACGCGTTCGGAATGCGACAGCCATCAGCGGCTTGTCTAACATCTACCTCGACTTGACCACAACCTGGATCGGTTCGTCTGCTTATCCGGTTCGAAGTCCGCACTCTTTGACACGCCTCTAGGAAATAGAACTGATGGCGATCGGTCCGATGGGCTGACCGAGGACTCGACCACAGTCCAGCGTCTCAAGACGCAGCTCGTCTCCGTTGCGACACAGCTTTTGTCCCTCAATGATGTTGTAGAAAGCGCTCGGTGGGAAGCCGCTATTCTCGGAGAGTGGCCATACAAAGATTACAAGGCGATGCTTGAAGTTGAACAGGATATGGTTGCTGTTCTTGCGCTCGTACGTGTCCAATGATCTACTGCGTGGTATCGGTTCAGCCGAATGCTCATACCGTTCACAGATGGGCATGTCGCTATTGAAAGTCGACGCTGAATGGCGCAGGAAGCTCTTGCATGAGACGCAGATAGTAAACCCGAACTTCGTGAGCGTGTTGGCTTTCGGTCCGCAGAGCATCATCTGAAACAGCAGTAGATTTCCGATGTCTTGTCAGTCTTTTCTCTAGTATCACATTCGCTCAGTCGAGGCGAACCCCTTCACGGCGTCATTCCTCGCCAACTTCTTGACCGGCTCCTATACCATCGCTCTATCGCTTCTCAGCAGCAACAATCGGGACAGAGCATAGCGAAGGAGTTGGGGTCTTATGAAGCTCTATTCTACACGTCTGCTGTCATCTCCGTGGTACAGCTGGCCCAAGTGCGTAATCGCCTCCGCTTGTATCAAGCACGCCCTCTGACTGGATCGGCTACAGTGTCTCGACGAGTTACATGCTATCACGCGCAGACTGTGCGGCGAAGTACCCTTCATCGGCTTCGACGAATGGAAGAACGAGCACCAGCGCATTCACCACGCCTTCCCACCTTCGGACACGAAGCCCGAGAATTCCGACGTCGCATGAATCGACATGATGTTTGCTGTATTTTACATGTAATAGCCGTTCCAATTTATTCGAATTCGCGACTCGAATCATCCGCAGTATACTTCGCCTGCGGGAGCTCGTTGAGTCTCTTCTCCTCGGCATCGAGACTGCGGAACGACACCCAAAAGAGGATGCCGCCGATGCCCGCGAGTGCTGCCATGACCGAGTAGTTCCAGACCAGAAGCTATAGAGTGGTTAGTGGGGATCGGGAGACGTGCGTTATGAAGACATACGGGATCTACAGTGAGGGTTAGATACAGTATGTCAAGCCATGATGAGAAACGTACCTGTAGATAGAGACGTGAAAGCCTCTCCGATCGCGGCCGCGACAGCTTGCGCGAACAAGAAAACACCCATAACCAAACTACGATGGCATGTCAGAGGGCAGGTATCGTTGGTTCGGTGTAAATCGAACCTTCTCATGTTTGCGGGAGCCTTGGTGAAGGCGTACTCGAGGCCAGTGATACTTGCGAACTATGGGGTACGGTGAGACCGCGTTCCACACCATGGGGATGTGCTCGCTTACGATCTCAGACGCAGCGATAAGCACGTATGCACCAGTCTGGCTCCACACATTGATGGGTGCAGGTTGGTCGCAAGTCCCGGCGCTGGATCCGCATGGACTCATCTGCGAGTACGTAGGTCATTAAACTGGGAGAACAGGTACAATGCGCTGCACCACGCGCACCTTGTAGATGTAGTGCTGTGTCACCGCAGCCCAAATCATTGCAGCAGATCCTACCATGAATCCGGCAGTGATACGACGAAGAGGGGAGAAGTTTATCCCGACACGGCGCATGAATGGATACTGAAGCCAACCGATCAGCACGTTTGGCACCATCTTTCAGCCGATGCACGTATGCACGTACCAGGAAAGCATCGAATACGGGGATGAACAAGATCAGAGCCAGAGGATCTAGATTGTTGATGACTACACACAGCAAGCGGTCAGTATTTTGGACGCATGTACAAATATCTCGGCTAACCATCGTTGGGGGCGCCATGAAGCTCCATTGTTGCGGCTTGAGAGGTGAGGTTCTATGTAGGTGGGAGATGAGGTGATGTGGCAGGTGCCATGCATAACACTCCACTTACGTTGACCATCTGGTTGTATGCGAGCCCTGATCACAGACGAGTGGTGAGAAGGTGAAAGTGTATGACTTCACATTGACACATACAGTATAGCGGGTACCAGACGAAGACTGTGCACGCCTTGAAACCGCGTCGGACCTCTGTCTGCTTGTCAGAAGTCTGGCTAATGACAACTCTGACAAAGTTCGACCGACCGTCGACCCAGGCATCATCAAAGGTCATCCAGCTTGGGCGGTCCTGTACGCTGAAATTACTGGGCTTGACCGACTCCCAAAAGTCAGGTGCCCTCAGAAGCTTTGACGTCTTCACAGGGTTGGCTGACCAACGTCCTCTCGATGCCAACTTCCAGAGCCGAAGGGCATTTCCGAGTACCGAGCCGGTAGGTGGGGTATGGCGGTAGCGATTGCGTCCAATGTAGAGGACGAGAGGACAGCAGAGGTAGACAATCGTGGGTAGGGTAAATGAAAGCCAGAATCCGACGAACTGTGATGCTCTTAGCTGGGATATCGGCCAGCTCGACTAAACGGCGCCTTACTTTCTCCGCAAATACCATAGTTACTAAGGACGAGACGCGTCAGTGAAGATTGCAATGCATTCGTCCAGATATCCACATACCTTGTCCTATCAGCGATCCAACATTGATGAACTGGTCGCGGTTAGAGCACAATCCGAATGCGCATTGAGGTACGCACAAAGTAAAAGTACATGTAGACGCGAGACGTCGTCAAGGCAGGATCTACGATGACTCTTTCACCGTTGGCTTTAGTCATGACATACGGCTAAGTACACAGTTAGCCCATTGTCAAGTTCGTGGCGTGTCATGAGTATCTTACTTTGAGGCTCCGTTGCTGCTCTGCGATCAAAGGCGAGATGTTGCTCTTGAAGCCGCCCGTCCCAAGTCCCATAATCAAAATCGCAACGACGAGAGCTCCCAATGCGCCATTGGGCTTCTCAAGGACTGGCGGTATGGCACTAATGATCAAGACCACGTGTCCAACCAGAGCAATGGCGACGGAGACAGCGATGGTCTTGAAGCGGCCCCAGTAAGTGTCCGCTACATATGCGCCTACATGATTTGTGAGCACCATAGCGCAGCTGGCTGTGCGAACGCCGTCACCGTACCAAAGAGTGGTGTTATGTAGGCCTGTCATGTCATCGCGTGTCATCATGCGTTCACCATATGACAGATAACCTTCACGTACCCAGAACTGCAGGGAATATGAGTATGGTACAAGTTGGAAGAATGCAACTGAGACGAACCTGAAGTAAGGTTGTCAGACCAGTTGAAGTCCTTTGGCCTTTCCCGAGGGCGCCAGATTGACCATTGCCTCCAGCGCCCGTGCTGGAGTTCTCCGGTCGAGGTTGCTGAATGAAGTTGACAAAGACGATTGTGCTACCTAGAACACCCATTTAGCATGAGAAAACACATTCCCACTTGTCATATCCGGCGCAACGCACCGTAGTACTACCCACGATATACATCTCGATCAACCGATGGACACAACAAAAGTATTGATTACAGCCGTTTTCAATGAAGTGCGGAAACGCAAATCGCGTCGACGCGCCTCGGAAGCACGGCCCAGAGCCGACGCGTCCCCAGGTTCGATCCCGAGCTCCCGACAAACTATTACTTGCATCGTATTTATGCTCAGATCTCCTAGCACCTCTGACAGTAAGTTTAATAATCCTTCGGGACAGTGCACTGAGTTTTTGGGCGCTGACTTATAGGCCTAGTGAAAAGGAATAAACCATGCAGTTGAGTGGGAGCGCTGGGAATCGAACCCGCTCCATCGTGGAGGCGCATTTGCCGCTGGCCCACGCTTTCTGGGAGGTCGCGGCGCGATTCGCGATTCCGCACTTCATTGAAAACGGCTGTAACGCACACTGAATCGCTCCGCCGCCTCGATAACCGCGATCACTGCAACACGTCAAGCTCAATTGCAACATATCCACATCTTCTCACTCACTGTAAGTGCTCCAGTTCACATGCCCCGCCACATGACGAAGCGTTTCCAGCTCTTCCTCAGTCGGCGCGATCAGGCCGTCCGGCAAAACATCTCTATCGCCCGAGAATTCAGTATCCTTGGTGGGCATCCGCTCTACATCGAGCGCGACGTCCTTGTTCTGGGTGTGAGCTATGCCGGCGTAGAACGCGTCATTGGGTCCTTTCTCCATGATGCAACAGTTAGCAGCGGGGATGGAGAAGCAGGAGAGAGGCGCGCGCGATGAGAAGCGATGGCGTCGCTTATATGGTCGGGAAGGTGGGGGTGGTACACATGGAGATCCCACCCCTGTGTACCGAGGAATCGCGCAGCCTTACCGGGCGCTATATGGCACAGAAGCTTCAAGGCAAAGTTGGACGAAGCAAGTTTCGCACCGGGAAAGCATGTGGTACCATTGCCCGAAGATGCATCTTCTGACCACGACATAAGATTTTAGGCGCCGAACACATCATCTTCAGCCAGTCGGGAAAGTGCTATGACATGGACGGGCAGCTGTGGGCCCGTGGTAACGGGCGATACGGACTTCGCAACAGAGGAGTATGGTCCGGAAGCGTGAACGAACAGCGGGATCGCCGGAGTCGTCAGGCGAGGATGTCGAACTGCTATCGCAGGTCATGCTTCTTTCGTTGTTCATCACGTACAGCCATCAAGATGAACAAAAGCGCAAGCGCCGCTACAGAGCACATAGAGAAGCTCGTCAAAACGGTTTCACCGCGATCTTCACCGCGCCTCGGCTGCTCATCTTGTCAAGCGCATCCTGATACTGGTCCAAATTGAAAACATCCGTGACCTGCGACTGTTGAGTACGAGTCCACGAATTCCGATGAACGGCATATGCGGCAACGTACCATGCCTTTCACGTCGATTTTGCCACTTTCAAGGTATGCTATGGCCCGTGGGAAGCAGTGCATCTGTGCGAACGAGCCAATGATCTGGCAGCATGACGTGATGAGCAAGAGCAGAGGACGGTAGCCAGAGCACACACCCTGATTTCATCTCCGAAGATCTTCGAGGGCGACCAGTGTACCAGTGCGGAGCTGTCGTAGACCCCGTAGACGAGCAGCTTGCCACCACGGCGAACGTAGTCGAGCGCATGCTGAGCCACCCCCTCAACGCCGGTAGCTTCGACAACAATATCAAAGCCATATCTAGCGCAAGAGCTCGTCAGGGGATGAGGCAGGCGGCACGGACGAATCTCACGGGTTCGCTTCCTTGATCTTAGCCCATTGAGAGTCGGGGTTCTCTCTATCCAACTCCATAAGTTCGTCCCCTGCTCCTAGTTTCCGCGCTAGCTCAGTCTTGGTACCCTTGTTAGCCGCGATAACGACCCGCGAAGCGCCGTTCAGTTTGAGTAGCTGGGCAAGTACTAAGCCGGTCGGACCGGCACCGATGATGAGCACCTCCACTCCGACGGTCGTTTGGAGCTTGTCCATGCCATGTATAGCGCACGCCGTGGGCTCGACCAAAGTTGCTTCCTCGTCTGAAAGATTATGGATCGGATAAACCTTCTTCGCTTGACTATAGAAGTTCATGAGTACTAGGGTCTAGCGACTCCAATCGTACGATCATCGACGTAAGAGTCACTCACAAGATCACGTATTCGGCGAAACCGCCTGGTAAGTTGCACCCGCGTCCGAGATAGTTCTCGCACAGGAGAGGTTGCCCTCTGCGGCAATAGAAGCAATTGTCGCACTGTTTTACTTGCATCCAGCGCCAAAGACGTGGACGAGAGTGAAAGCACTTACGACCAGACTTGGGTCTGCTACGACGCGCTCACCATGTTCGAATCCGGTGACATCTTTGCCCACTGCTTCCACAGTTCCGCATACTTCATGGCCCGGAATGAGAGGAAACGCAGCGATGAAGTCCCCGTGATGTATATGGGCGTCGGTACCGCATATGCCTGTATAGGACCGGGATCATGAGCAATGGCCTACTTGAGCATACTGATAAGATGATCGCGAACCGCAGCTGGACACTATTGGCGATGTCAGCATTGATGATGGAACGCTGCGCGCATACTCACTTACCCTTGATCAGGACCTCATCATCTCCGACTTGAGGAACGGGTACGTTGGTAACTTCGAAGTTCCGTGGCTGAATTGGTAGACGCTTAAGCAAGCGATCCCGCGCACTCTCGGAGGGCGCACGTACACTGTGGTAGTAAACGGCTTTCATCTGTGCTTGTGTGACCATCGGGGCTCTCGGTGTAGGACAAGTAGAGCTTCTGTGATCTCGAATTATGTATGCTCTCAACCGGTCCATCCGGGCCGACGACACCCGGCTTCCGCTGGACCTCGACTCTCGTGACCGTGCAGGATACGGCGCGCTGATTCGCTACTCGTGCAAGCATGTAGTATCAGGCTGGCTATGGGGAGCCTTGATTCCTATGGGTCATCGAGTAGCAAGAACTTGGTACTATTTGGCGCATCTTCTCGACGTGTGTTTACTATCGACCGTAGAACTAGAAGAGGACGACGTGTCCAGTCGACGCCAGAGTGTATGAGACATGAGATTCATTCCGTATGCGTAGATGCTAAGCCAATAGTGCAAGTACGCCGTTTGCGAGAAGAATCCGCTACCGTGCATCATCATGGTCAAGGGCAAGTCGCGCGAACGCGCCGAGCCGCCACTTCGGTGCTGGCAGCCGCTCGGCAACTGCCGCGTGCTGCTTGTCTCTCACCACCACCGACCCCAACCTCTTCCTTACCATGTCCTCGAAACGCAAATGGGATGAGGCTGCCCCCGATGGCTCTGCTACGCCAGAAAGTGCCCCAAAAGTCGCAAAGTCTGAGGAGTCCCGCGACGCCTCAACCGCTGCCGCTGCCGCTGCAGCAATTGCCGCCAAGATTGCCGCACAATTCTCTGCTGGTGGCGCTGGAGGGATTGGAGGAAAGGATCCGCACGATGGCGATTTTGTGAAGGATATCGACATTAACGACCAGCGAAACCGCTACCTCCTCACCAAGGGTTCGACGCAGCAGCAGGTACGCAACTGCTTGATATCTGGAGCAAATAGTTATATTGATTGATGCCCACTAGATTCACGACGAGACAGGTGCATCTGTTGGTACGAAGGGGACTTGGTACCCGGACCGCTCTAAAGCTACGGAGCGCGACCCTCCCCTGTACCTGCACATCTCCGCCACGACTCAAGAAATGCTTGACAAGGCCGTGGCAAAAGTTAACGAGCTCATTAACCTGGATATGGGCTCGCTCGTCGAAGATAAAAGCTCTCGCGGAAGGGAGAGGGTTAGTCTATCTAGGGTCATATCAAGCTATATCGACCTATTAACATGACGTTGCAGAGGAAATGGCCTGAAGAGAAGGTGCCGGTGGGAATCGAGTCTTTGCGCAACTTCAACGTCCGTGCAAAGGTCGTTGGTCCAACCGTAAGCAAGGTACATGGTCATTTTTGCGTAGCCACTCAGAATATCTTCGCAGGGTATGTTTGTAAAGTATATCCAGCAGGAGACAGGCACTCGTGTGCAGATCAAGGGCCTTGGCTCCGGATTTGTAGACCAAGAGACGGGGAGGGAATCTGACGAGCCCATGCATATTCACATCACGTATGCCCGCGTCCTTTACAGTGTCGTTCCAATCCTGATATTTCAACAGCGGCCCCGACGAGAACATGATCGCGCGTGCTAAACTCCTCGCTGACGACCTACTCGAGGTCGTACGCGGAGAACACGCCAAGGCTCTCCAACAAGTTCAAGCGCAGCAGATGGAGCTGCATCACGCCCAGATGCAGTACGCCGCCTACACTGCCGCCATGAGCGTATGTATCATTCGCTCATTCTGGTCCTGCAGGCGATCGCGTCTTCCAATTCTTACTCGCCTCTTGCGCCTGTGGACTGCCCGGTGTGTATAGATTACTGACGCTACTGACTATCAGGGCGGATACGCACCTCAACCACCGGGCTCAGCCCCGCCTCCCCCTCCGGGCGAGCAACCGCCGCCTCCTCCGGATGGCAGTGCACAGCAGCAGCAATCAGCCGCTCCGCTACCGTCGGACACGGATGCGTACGCTGCATACTGGTATGTGTTTGCTCAATACCCTGTTTCCCCTGAGCCTAATACACCACCACAGGGCGGCATACGGCTACGATGTCAACTCGCCCGAGTTCAAGCAATGGCAAGCTCAGCAGCAGGCACAGTACGCTCAGTATTATGCTCAGCAAGGGTACACCGCGACGCCTAATGCCGACGGATCGGCTGCCGCAACGCCGGCGCCTCCTCCGCCAAGTGACGCTGCTCCGCCTCCGCCTCCCCCTGGACCGCCTCCGTCATGAGTACGACAGAGACGGCCATCCATGGTGATAGTGTACCTTTGGACCCCATGCTAGAGGTCCCTTGCTCTGGTTTCAAGTCTGCTGTTGTGCATACTTACTGCCTAGCCATAACCCTTATCGTTGATGCTCGCAGGCTCGAATATGATGCTTCGTTATTTACGCTCTTAGCTCAATCAATATCGTACATGTCCTACATGTCGTCAAGCGATCCCGACCAGCTCGACCCTGGCGGTATCCTAGTCGTGAATAGCACTGACTTTACTGCGGGTGTCAATGTCAGGAGACGGTGCCTTGAACGCTCTATTTCCAGAATCACCATCGACCCTCTGCAGATACGTTCGCTCGACAGTTATCTCGATGACAGGCGTTTGCGCGCGTCCAATTGCGATGGTGGGTCGTATGATACTTGGCACCGACTTGCTGAAAAGGAAGGACTCGCTGTGATGCACAGTGTTCAGCACAATCCCCGCGAAGTTTGACGAGACGTACTTGTCTTTTCCATGCGTGAAGTTAGCAAGCGAGCGGTACAATCTCGTCGCTCCGACAACACTGTTTGACGTCAGGTCCGAGCTTGGTCCACTATGGAGGGAAACGCGCACGAAATGAGCACTATGTTCGCAGAGCATCTGTCATCTACGTCTCGAATTGGCGACTACGTACTCACGTTGTGGAGTAAGGAACATCTGCACGCAACGAGGCCGAGTGAGCGGGCGATACGTCTCGTCGCGAGGACACGTACCACGTTCATAAAGGGGTTTAAGTTGAGGTACAAGAATACCTGCAGAACAGCTCGGCATCATTGTGTGCGCACCTGGATACGATACGGATGACACACCACAGGAGGCACGCCGGAAAGAGTTGCAACCGTCAACCAGAGCCAACCTTGTCCCCACAAGACCCGCCAGAGACTGAAATGGCGTGCATCTCGCCGACGAAGTAGACCGACGATCATCAGACCCAGTAGACAGAGGTCAACCGAGAGAAGCGCCGTGCTGATCGGAGCCGCGACTTGGGTTGCTACCACCATGCAGGTGTCGTCCTCGGGATCCCATACCGCAGTGACCTTCGTCAGAGCTGGAGAACTGGGTGGACACGTTGCACAGAGGGTAGACTCTGTAGCGCGACGTACTGTACACAACAAACGACAATTGTGCCAAGAGCCCGACGACTGAAACAAGAACCAAGGACGGCCTGCAATCCCAGATTGCGATACTGCGTCCCGTTTGGTCGTCTGCAGACGGCGAAGATGGACATCGCACTCACACTCGGGTGGCGATCAACACCGTTGCCGATTGTGCGGCCAAGGCCGGAAGAGCCTATGAAGTTATCAGGTCGATGGGCATTGTCGAAGGAGTTGTCAGCTCACGTAGAGCAGGGTGTTCTGTACCTACGATATGCGGCGTGTAAGCTGTCGAAGGAGAGCCCAAGTCTATGATGGTATGCTTACCATGCAGTGAATCTTGTGTCCGGCATCGAGGCCAACGAAGATGTCGATGAAGGTGGCAACTAGAAGGATCCGTGCAGAGAGGTATGCCTGTGCGCGTGATGTTCATTCGCTCCTGTGTGCAGGCACAGTGGGGTAGCATATACGCACTCCTCTGGCCCACCAGGACGACCTCGACTTCGTTGGACGGGTAGCAAGCTTCCAATCAAAGCTGATATGTGTGAGAAACTCCCACCTACAGACGGATATGAGGTTCGTCGTGCTAGAATCGCATCGGCTCCTTAACGCACATATACAATCCGCCTGTCACATGCTGTAGTTTGAGGATAGCCACTGATGGACTAGATCTTAGCCTTGCTTGCGTAGAAGTGGATGGTGAGATCTGACGTACGCTCCTCCCTCTCCTCTACGACAGGATCGAGCCAGCCGGCCATGGCGAGTGTGGCGCAGAAGACGAAAAGGGGGCAGCGTCAATGAGTTGGCCTCTCCCTTATGTAGCCTGTAGACTACAAGCTTTCCCGCAGATGCTCTCGATGGTCATGGGCAAGATATCCACGGCTACATGAGTACGATCTCAAAGCCCGCTATTCAGGAAGACCCTCGCTCGTGTGCGGGAGTGCGTATCTGGGCGGGTACTCTCCTACTAGGCGCTAGAGCGCCGCAGGTCAAGAAGCCTTCGAACTTTGGATGCTACCACCACGTCGACGTTGAACACACGATGCTTGAGATGTTTGACTTCGTTCTTCTGAAATCTTCAGTCAGCAATGTCTTGCGCAGCACTCAGAGAGTACATTCGCTGAACAGAGCCTGCCCGAGATGACCGGAGGTTTGCCACGAGGCCCTGCGAATGAACACGAGCGCACAAAGAACGATACCGGTAAATAACGTCTAGTGCATGATAGCGCCTCTAAGTTAGGCGACTGTAGTGTTCTGGCTATGCGAGATTTCTTGTCCTTCGAGTCGTCATTCAACCTCTTGAAGTAGTGCCAGCTAGTGCATGGCGATGATTCCGCGCGTTCCGGGTTGATTTCATTCCGGCTTCTCTTTACGACTCGACTAGTTCAACGAGGACTGGTCGCTTCATGCGCACGATGTCTCGCAACTGCTATGCTCGGTGTGAGTATGTTGACTGTAGACCTGCGATGGTGCGGGTGAGAGGCAACTCGCGAAGGGCCGGACGAACGGGCCGCCAGCTTCGGCACCTTCCGTTTTCATGTTCGTGAGACGTTCGGTCTCTCAACAACATCCATGTAACCCGTTCAAGGGGTTGACAGTTTGATCCCATCGATCTTATCCTGTTTCTTTCTCTCAGAAGGTGCATTCATGGGGCCAGGGCGATACGTAGACGGGGATATAGAACGGCCAAATCTCGCCCACGATGGCTCGAAGCTGCAAGGCGGTGTGCCATTGCCTGCATTCAATGCTTCATCACCCATTCCCTCTGGACTTGTTCCTCGTGTCTGACCTCTTGTCCTATCCTGGCGGCAGGGAGGAGAACATCAAGATGGCTCTCTGGAATGTATCGCCGGTTGACGTAGCGCTGCTGTTGGCTAGACTCAGTTCGGTACCAGCATCATCCCGCGAACCAATTACCTCCGTACGTACCGGCGCAGCCTTGTGTACCCGTGCCCTTGGACTCCCACCGGCGCGCTTCGTATGGCAACAACGTTCACTTGGAAGTATGATGTGGCGGCGACTATGGAACGGGATCAAGATGCTGTGTGACGGGCGGGAAGATGTGCTCTTAAGTATGGGACGTCGCTGCAAGGGCCATCCCACGGAGCCCTTCGTCCGTTGACGCCCCCGCATCCATTGTCACGATGTCAGGCAATGCAACGACGCCGACGCCTACCATTCCGGGCCTACCCCCGGCCATCGCGAGCCTGCTACCGCCCGGCACGCAGCTTCCTCCAGGCGTCACGTTCTCGCCAGATGAGCCGCTCGCATATATCTTGACATTGCTCCAGATCTTGCAACATGCGCAAGACTATTGTATGTGCAAATGCCCTCGGCTCTCTTATGATACTGACGAACTCTTAGTGGACGTGGTGAAGCTCGAGCATGTCCTCGCTGGCATCTACATGTATGTATCGCCCGTAGCATGGTGTCGCCGAGGCTCTTGACTGACTCGAAATGTCACAGATGGGAGTACTTCACGACGCTCGACATCGAATGGAGATGCTATGCTGGCCCTAAGAAATCTCCAGCTACGGCATGGGTACGTCCTCAAGCGGGCGCAAGAGCGTGATGGTGTCTAAAAATAGAGTCCAGATCTACTCTCTGTGCAAGCTGAGTGCACTGGCGTACACGATCACCAATCTTGTCGGCTACAACGTCACCGAATCCATCAACTGTGATGCCTGGTTGACTTCCCGATACGTACGTGCATCCCTCAATCGAGTCTGCACGTCAGATTCTGACTATTACGTAGGTTTTCGCCACGCTTTCCATCATGTGTGCCAGTACGATTGTGGTTTTGCGCATGTGCGTCCTAAACTCGAAAACTTGATGCAACCCAGCTGACACAATGCCCTGATACGCAGAGCGACTCTTTGGGACCGAAACGTATTCATCATGTTGGCTGCGTCCGCGATCGCTTTGGTCTCGTCGGCATTCTGGTTGCTCTGTAAGTGGACGCACACATGCCCTCGCGAGTTCTGAATACTGAACACGTCTAGTGACCGTCCAGACACGGAATCAAGGAATCTACGTTCCGACGCTGGGCTGTCAATACCTTGCATCGGAACATGAGTTCTCCCTGTCAATCGTGATCATCGCTACCAGCTTCGCCTTCCTCGTCCTTTTGACCAGTGGCGTCGCTCATCGCGGAATGTTCTCCCGGCCAAACTGGTGGCGTAAGCTTTACACCGAGGGCATTCTCTGGTTGGTGTTAGCGACCCTCTTTGGCATCCCAGACGCTGTTCTGATCAAGGCGAACCGCAATCGTGAGCACGTTCCCCATAATGCACTGTCTCGACTCTGAAGTGTTTGCGTAGCCGCATGGAACCAGATGCTTCGCGGTCCAGAATGTGAGTATAGATATCCTACTCAATGGAGCATGAACCATACTGAAACGTGTTGTCCTAGACTTCATTCTCATCATCGGCGCCATCCGTCTGTACTCTTCATTGAGTAGGACCGGTTCTTTCACCACCTTCCGTGACACGTTAGTCCTCCTCCTGAAGCAGTCTCAGGTGCATTCCGTACTAATGCCGTTCTCAGCGTCTCCGGCTCTAGCAGCGGCAAGCCGGCCGTCAGTCACGATGGTATCAACATTCGTCCCGGAGCTATCAACAGCAACTCGGTCTTCGCTGTGGCACCGCTTGGTAGCCAAGGTTCACGCACGACGACGACGGAGGATAAAGATACCACGGGCCCTATGCACGGTGTCTCCAAGATCTCTACCTTCAACGACGACGTACTGGATCTCGAAGCGCAGCGAACCACCCATGAACCTGATGATGTCCTGTTCATCAGAGGAGAAAAGGCGGAGAACGAACGCGAAGGCTCTGAGTATGGCGCTGCAGACCCGCGTCCGTACTGACCGGAATGATATCCTACGATCTGATGTGTGCCTGTGCAGTCGCACGCTATGTTTATTCTCGTTAGTAGTATTCGCTTTGTATTACTTCACTTGTAACCCGTACCCTATACTGTATCCCTAGGCCGTAAGAATGTGAGACGTCGTTGGTGCAATATGCGGTATTGCTCACCGTGTCGCGCCCGCAAACAAGCGCGGCCGCCGCCGCGCGGGTTGTACATAGGCGCGCGGGTGTGGCGAACGCGCTTCGGTCGCGCGCTGGTCGCGCGCTGGTCGCGCGTCGCGACTCGCGACGCGGCAGGCAGAGTGCAACACCGACGTCAACGCAAGTTGTCCCTCAACCACCACTAGCGACTGCGTGTTTCTTGCTTTCAGGAGCCGACCTAGATACTCCCTCGGATCATATTGCAGCCCCATCACAGGGATCTATGCGGTTGAGCTCGAACGCGCTCCTTTCCGTCGTACTTATTCTCGTGTGTCCGGTTACCCTAGCTTCGAATATCATCTTCCCAGCCTGCTTAGACTCTCAATCTACACCCTCCGAACACGCACTGCATAATCTAGAGATGGTTCTACCGCAGACCAAGCCGAAAGCCGGAGACAAGTACCGCGCGCCGAAGACCGAGCTGGACGTAACGGGCTACCCTATTGCCCCAGAAGGGCTGAATCTGGAGCAGGTACATGTGTACATGAGGCATGGTGCGTGACGTGCGAAGTGCCACACATGCGAATATTCCTTCTGAGACGCTTATCTTAGGCGAAAGGACTCCCGTATCCACGCGCATGACCGAATTCATCCCGGAACGCTGGCTGATGTGCTCGCAAGCCCGACGCTTCAATGCAACGGTCGGCGACACGAACAACTCTACGTCTGCACTGGACATTACCCGAATCGTCGAGCGACCAGACGGGCGCTCTGTTGCAGGAGAATGGTGCGTGGTGTGCACCGCTGAGGTTCTTCACCCGTATATTGACGCCTATTTCAGCTTCTTGGGCGAGTTGACGGATATCGGAAGAGCTGTACGTTTATTCAACGCTTTCAATATACCTACCCGTCTCGAGCGAGACGTGGTCAGTGACTTTCATCCTGAGCTCATACGCGCCAATGCTCCGCCAGTCTACCCTCGCATTCGGCACAGCCCTTAGGCGACTCTACGTAGAGAGGTACGGATTTCATGTGAACTCGAGGTTGCTATTTTTCAACGCTCTACAGACTGGGTTTCTTGCCAGACGTTCTGAACGACTCGACATCTGTATACTACCGGTCGACAAATATGCCGAGAACGATAGAATCCCTACAGCAGGCCATCCACGGCTTGTATCCCATGTCGAAGTGCGACCCAGATACAACACACACCCTTCGTGTCCGGTGGGTGACTACCCCTTGATCTACGTCGGAAAACGTCTGACTAGGGCATCTCATTAGCAACGGACGCGAGGAGAACTTGATCGGCAATACCCTCGGCTGCAAGCGCCTCGAGACTTTACTCATCAACTTCGCTAATGGTGAATTTGCCTCTACTATCCATCATTGGTCCCCGCTGACAATGCTTCATCAGCTGCCGCTTCTGCGTACAACCCCACGCTTGAGCCTTTGGATAAGAAAGTGGCCAAATACCTCGGCGACAACCCCATTCGTGTGGATGGCAAACCGCGGGCATCGGGGGTAAGTCCATCTTCTCCCGTGATGTACTGGTTCTAAGGTGTATGTACAGGTGTTGGACACAGTGAGTGTCTGCATCAGTCAACCTTGCGCGCTACTCACTCCAGCAGATACGTGCTGCAATGGCACATGAGATGAAAGTCCCGCCGGAATTCGAGGAACGGGCCGTCACGTCGACCATAGTATGTGCCTCTCTTCTCCCGCGTTGTTGTATGCTTCTAACTCGGATCATCACCCGTAGGAGCGCGCTGTGGTGAATGAATGGTTTTCGGGTGAGTACGTTCCTATTATACGCAGGATAGCTCTGACACCATCTATGTAGGCTGTAAGAGTCTCAACCAATCGGCGATGAATCCGTCTGTAACTCCTCCATTCCTTCAATACAGATAAGTCCGAGGAGGTCCGCCGGCTAGGAATGGGTCGTCTGCTTGGAGATATCGTGGAGAAGATGCACCTAAAGACGCAGAATCACCATGCATCCCCTAAGATCCTTGTACACAGCACCCACGATACCGGCCTCGCTGCGCTGCTGAATACGCTAGATGTCTTCGACGATAGGTATTACACATACCCCCCTTTCTCCGATCACGGATACTCACCCATTATAGGTGGCCAGGCTTCACAGCATCCATCACGTTCGAACTGTTCAAGGCGACTAAGAAGACAGAGACTGTCGCTCCGCCCAGCGACAGTGCGACGACGGATGCACGCCCTGCCCCCGGCCCCGGTTACTTACAGACCGTCCTTTCCTCGCCCTTTAGGCGTCGCTCGGCAGAAGCATACTGTGAGCCGCTCCTGAAACACTGTATGCCCGCAACTAAGCTTCTCCGCAGACGTGCGTGCGCGGTACTCCAACCGAAATCTTGTCCTGCCATCGTGTGCAGAGGAGGGGAAGCACCTCCCGGGCTCCCCTGAATTCTGCACGCTCGAAGCATTCACGGAGCGTGTAAGTGAGCTCGTACCACAAGACTGGGAAGCAGAATGCTCTACATAGACAAGTGCGTACCTATTTGACGCACGTGGACAAGCGCTGAGATTGTGACCGAACAGGACCTTTTGATCAGGACATTAATCGCGTATAATGCTATTATATGAGAACAGTGCATATTGACATCGCGTCTTCTGTACACGACAGAGCCTTCGTGGCTGAACGCCACAATGCTCAGACGTCAGTTCGTAGTTGCTTCCAGCATTCAGCTACTTACAGCCCTGCACCTGTGGTATCTTCATCTCGGGAGTTTGACCGAGCGCATCAGCAGTTTGCGAAGCTTCCGTGAGGGTTTGTCCAATCCCGAGCTTCTTCGGCCACATCACGTCCACGGTCTGCTGTTCGTGACGGCGCTGTTCGCTACCATTGGCGCAGCACAGATGCCGGATTCACTATCATATGTGCAACACTGGCCGTTCCGCGATGCCGTAGCAGAGAGTTCACGATGCGCCGATGGGAGCTTTCCATACTCGCCTCCCCATGCTTCATTGTATGATCATCACTGACCGATCTGCTGTCGTGCATTCGTGAACGTCAGAACATGCGCAGCTGTATATACAGTCCAGCTCAATGTCACTCGAGCGGTACCCCTTACCCTTGCGCCTGCCTCTACAACCGGCAGCCATGGTCAACTTCCAAAGCCCTTCTGTGATAGCCGCTGACGGCAGTACGTTGTGATCCCCTCCTTGTCCCGCAGCGTGACTGACAGTTTGCGCAGTTGCTCTTGAGAGCACACAAAACGTGTTCTGTGGCCTTTACTTGTACGGTGCTCATCCTCCCCGCTAATTGGTGATTGAACGGATTGTCTAGATGGGAGTGGATCACGTCCTTGGAGTATGAAATCGCATACTACAGGCGTAAGCGGCCATGGAGATGGACCATGTCGGTGCGTGGTTGTACTAGGCTTCGCGATCCTTGCCTGACACACGCCCAGCTCTACATCCTGTGCCGTGTGAGCATCTTGGCCGCCGTAATCAACCTATTCGTGGGTGGCGCCGCCGCAACCAACGGTGCTATCAGCTGTACTGCGTGGGTCAAATGCATGTTTGTACGTTGGTGCTTCATCGCCAGGCAGTGAAGTTCTGACGAAGGTTATAGCTCTTCTCCTACTTGGGAGTATGCATGGCCTCACTACTCATCGCATTGCGAGCGTGCGCTATATGGGACAGACATTGGGCTTTGGTTGTCTTCACGGCAGTCAGTTTCTTGGCGCAACTCGCTCTGCAGATTAGGAGTATGTCTCAGCTCGCCCGCGCACCGTTTCTCTAAAACTGATGAACCTTGTAGGTCTGGTACTGGCAACAGGCGCGCGAGACAGCCATAGCGGCATGTGCACTCTCGCAGACGGGGCGACAAGTGGACTACCTATCCTGGCTGCGGTGTTGGCGGTCGACTTGACTTTGCTCAGTCTTATACTGATCGGGTTGATTCGGAGGCAAGAGAGTCGCGCATTCGGCTTGGGCAGGATGCTGTGGAAGCAGGGCATAGTGTGGATAGTGGTCGCCAGCCTGGCTGAAGTTCCTACCGTTGTGAGTTTGCGGCCGCCTTCGGAAGAAGAGCAACCTCTCACTTTGTGCCATTCAGGTCTTCTTGTCGCTGGATCTGAATAGTGAGCCCGTAATCTCTGCACAAGCCGCAAGATGTCTGACCGCCGATGCGTAGTGCCCCTCGACGTGGTCAGTCCTCTTCACTATTAGATCCTACACCCGGGTTCTTACCTTGCCTTCTTCAGCTTTTCTTGACACCAGAAAGTGAGTAGTGATGCGCCTCTTCGACTCTATGCATCTGGTGCTAATGATTCGCATTCGACAGTGATCATACTGTATGCTACTCGTAGCTTCGTTGCCATCCTCACCCTGACCATCTCCCACAGAGCAACTGCAGCGACGCGACTATACCGGTCACTTTCCGATTTCCTTGTCGTACGGTGCGCTTCAACGGGAGGCTATGGTGCCAATCCACACACTCACACCACTCTGCTTAGGGACGAATCCTGGGTAACACCCGGCTCTTCATCCTCTGCATCTCGAACGCGGGGTCGTTTCTCTGCCGCAATAAGCCGCAAAAGCGCGATGGTCAAGTCGGATCCGATCCCACTTGACACGTTACGCAGTTACAGTTTGTCTGTTGAAACCGGCGGTGGGTATACCGGTGTCAGTGATAGAAAGCTCAGCGTGAGCGAAGCATCGCATGCATAGCCGGACAACCGTCTGTTCTGTACTTCTATAGATGCTCGTAGACTCGCATGCATGTTGACTGTGTACACTAGGCCTCGCGTATAGCATATCCCGATCACGGAATATGGTCCTCACGCGTCACAGGTCAAGGTCAAGGCAACGTTATCATCTATCACAGACCGCGCTCAAAGCCTGATGCAACGCAACGATGCACTGAGCTGATCCCGCCCTGTCTGGTGAGCGCGTCTGATGCGCCTACGCAAACCCACCAACGTGGGCATCCCACCTGTCTTCCTGGAGCGAATCATGATCATGATTCTTGATTGCCTTCTTGAGCGCGAAGGTTCGTGTGCTACAACCCTGTCGATCGCCTTAAAGAGAAAGGATGGGATGTCTTAGTGCAAGTGTACGGTGTCTCTGTATCCGGCGTGTTGCCGCCCGTCTTTCCTTCAAGTCTCTGGGATCGTTGATTATTCTTTTATCTATTTGCTTGATACCCCATTGTTCCATCTATCGGCTATAAGATGGTGAACTATGACGACCCAGCAGTGGTCGCGAGCGATTACCGTGAGCGACGAATCACCTTCAGGATGCAGAGGACTGAACGATTTCACAGTGGCGGTAATCAAGCTACAACACGTATTCTGCGGTCTCTACATGTGCGCGACGTTCGCGAACCAGTGGCTTACCTATGCTGATCTGATTGCAGTTGGGAGTGGGCACGGACCTTGCCCTACGAGTTCAGTTTCTACACCGGGAAACGGCCGTGGAGGTGGACCTTGGCGCTATACCTCACTTGTCGGTATAGCATCCTGGCTGCCGTGATCAACTTACTCGTCGGGTTCAATGCGTCACAACCCATTCATTGTCTCGTGCGTACTTCACGATCACCGCTGAGCGAGCGTAGCACTGAACCAGTGTTCACCGGCAGGTATGGGTCAAGTTCGAGTTCCTGTTCCCTTACTTGGGCGTGCTCACCGCCTCTCTCCTCATCGCTCTTCGCGCGTGCGTCACTCTTGCACACCATGTGCTCAACGACTGACGCCCCTCCAGAGCCGCCATATGGCACTTTCATCCCGCGATGCTCACGCTCGCTGGCGTATCACTACTCGCGCAGCTCGCGTTGCAGATCCGGAGCATCGTCATTGCAAGCGCATCGTGGGACAGCCAGATGCATGCGTGCACCCTGAAGGACGGCGTTCACGCGAGTCTACCTCTACTCTCTGCAACCTTTGGAGTGGATGCAGTGCTACTCCTGCTTATGCTGATTGGCCTGGTACGGAGGAGAGAGGCGAGGAAGTTCGGGATGTGGGCGTTCTTGATGAAGCAAGGTTTGGTCTGGCTCATAGTCGCTGCTGTGGCCGAGCTACCGACTGTTGTACGTGCATTGCGCTCGCTGTGTTTCATGAAACTGATGAGAGCGTTGCAGGTGTTGCTTGCCTTGAATCTGAATGGTGCGCTCGGCTTTTCCTCCGGATGTTGTGCATGGCTGACTGACGGCGGGCCATCGTAGACGCGCTGAACTTGGTGTGTACCCTCGGCCCAATCTCTCTATTCATGTGCACATCTCTGATACCCGGCTTCAGCTATTCCAAACGCCAGAGAGTACGCGCATATGATTCTGCTTCATCCGGTTCGCTGACCATGACCATCTGGACCTTTAGTGATCATTCTGTGCGTTCTGTGCCGTGCTCTGTTTGACAACGATTCCTGACCAGGCTCTACAGTGCCATCGCAGCAACGAACATGTACCGCTCGCTATCCGACTTCCTACACGTCGACGGGTGCGTAGCATCCTCCACGGCTCACTCCCCGGTGTACAACTCACACCACCATGTTTCACGTAGATCAAACCTACCAGCAAACAACGCAACAGTAGACTTCGCAAGGTCATCCGGCTCAACTCGCGACCACCGCGCAAGTCGAGCGTTGAGCATGCACACCTTGAACCACGATAACAAGGTGCACGCGATCCAAGTCTTCCGACCCGGCACCGATCCAATCTTCGAGGGAGAGGTGGAGGGGACGCCGTATGGCAAGGTCTGAATGTTGTATTCTCGGACGGATTGTGTATTTCTTGTATTTGGATTGATATTTGACCTTTGTGACGCGTTGAATCACGAAAGCATAGTATCAGCATATTCGTGGGAGACCTATTGTTGAGGAGGCGGTCCGGAGTGCGAGGTCCAGATTCAACCTGGTTCGACAGTATGCGGCAACGCGTACCAAGTATTCGAGGATGACGCAGGTGAAAGGGACTCTGAAGAAGCAAGGTCACATCGGGCGGTCGCGGCGCATCAAAACGTTTTCAGCACAAGTGGCCGTTGGTGCACAAGATGGTTTGAGGAGGGTGCTATGCTTGTGAATGTGTCACTATGCGTAATCTGGGTTTACCATCAATTTAACACAACATGGCCGCCTGGCGAAATGGCATCGCGTCTGACTACGATGAGTAATCAGGAGATTGCAGGTTCGACCCCTGCGGTGGTCATTACTCCGTGGCGATTAAGTTCATCTTTTTCGGCCCTTCCAGGGCTATGCGGAACTTGCATCTCCCCATGTTCGATAGAGATAGAGCAAATATGTTGTTAGCGTCCATGACCATCCATATACGATCTTGGACTTGTATGGCAATCCTATGAGATATAGTTCACGGCGGGTGGCTTTGACGAGCTACATGATTGAGCGACATGCTGTCGCGTGTGGTGAAGTCGGGCAAGTCGATCAAGGAGCCGTTTGACGTCAAACCTTGAATCCAGAGGCACGATGTGACGGTGCGACGGTGAAGTCGGACACTGTTCAACCGCGCCAGAAGGTCTCTTGCTGTATCCACCGGCTCGCAGCAATTCAGACTAAGTAAATGGGCGAGTATAAGGGAAGGGCGGCGCATATGTGACAATACTCAGTTAAGGCGGGGCAACAACGATATGCTAGTCGTAGAGTAACGCGTCGTACAATGTGATCTGCACCGTCAACAGTCACTAAACACTGTCGGCCATCCAATTGCGGGTGTACTCCGAACCATCCCGTTATCTGTCTTCGAAAGACTATTGCGTGAGAGGTAGATTCAGCCGTCAAATGACAAGAGGCGTCCTGGCGGCAAGCGGAATCGCCCTACAAACGTAGAGATGTGGCGCGAGTTGGACTGTGGCGCAATCTCGCGGGCCGGGGATAGTGCACCAACGGCCTCAGCCGCCCTTGGCCCTTCCTTATACGGGCACCTCGGGCATACCCGTAGCTCCAAACCGAACCAAGATCCCCTTCAAGACTCATACATGACAGACTTCACCGAATAACAACGTAAACATCAACACTAGAAAGGGCCAAATCTCTGGAGATCAGAAGGCGAGATAACGTAGCGCAGGGCACGGCGGGGAGTTGCCTTGTGTGTCGAGTAGGGATTGTATGAGCAGCGGGAGGGATTTGTGGGTTTAGGCTGGTATGGGGTATGAGTTTGGATGGATAGCGGGTGTGGCGCGGGGCCGAGGACTGCGAGGTGCGACCACCGACCGGATTGGGCGTGCGGTCTCACACCCTATCTTGAACACGGAAGAGCTTGCGAGGCGAAGAGGAAGGTGGACGGGACCGGGGATGCAGCGGGAGTTAAAAAGTACGGAAATAGGATCGTCGGTACGTGTCGTTAGACGAGCACAGTCGTCTCGCACTCGCGAGCGAGGCGGCCGCCTCCCAAATCAGCCAAGGGCCACTTGCCCAATGATCGTCGCGCCACAATATTTCTTCAAGTCACCCACTCATAATGTCTGATCGTCCCAGACACAGTTCATTGTCCTCACACAAAGCGACATAAACAAGGGATCGATGGTAAGAGTGCAGGTCGAAGATGGAGGTACGGACGCAAGTCGCGAGGGTGAGGTCACCGTGTGTCGGGATTGGGCGGACGCGAGCCGAGCGGTCGGCGCGGAAGCTTAGCGCGCGGCCGGTACCTGTGGTCAAAAAGTCGCGAGAGGTTCATGTCGGGCCTCGTTCGATTCGACCTAATCATTAGGTAGCCGTTCCACTCCAGACTCGTCCTCCCCAACGAACCCGATCCCTAGGCTTTCTTGCTTTCAACGCCCATCACCAATACCCCGTATGTACGCTCCCGCTTAGTACGGAAACCGCGGAACTACCAGGCTAATTGTTTGTGCTGCAGCGGCTTCAACAGTCGAGCTAGTCGAGATGCGCGCGCTGTCCCGGCCGGTGAGCACGCTCTGTGCGCGGTCGCCGATAGAGACCATCACCTTCTTCTTCGTCCTCGCCACCCTCGCCTACTTCCACGTGCTCGACGCCGTCAAGCACTCTGCATTCTTCGCCGACAGCGCGGCGGTCCGCCCGTTGCGCCCGGCATATGCCGTGCTGAGCCGCGGCGGCTGGCGCCCGGCGTCTGAGAGCGACTGGCTGGCTGCGAGCGGGAACGCGAAGGTCGAGGTGCAGCAGTTTGTGCTGGCTGGCGCCGATGCGGTATGTTTCGCGCTCTGTGTGATATTCATGGAAATGAGATTGACGTCGGGGCAGGCACCGCACGCGCTGGCGAACCTCTCCACGCATTTGACGACGAAATTGCACACTGCATCCGGGCGGACCTACGATGCGCTCTGCTACGCGTCCCCCAACAACGACTGTGCCGTCGCACAGCAACACCTGCCCGATGCACTGACGCTCGCGTTCGCCTCGGCCGGCGCACGTGAGGAGTTTGTCGGCACGCTTCTGCGCGGCGGCGCACCGGCCGGGTTTGCGCTCGAGAGCACGACGCGGACGGAGAGCATCGGGGAGATGCAGAGCGGCGCCTGGGTCGTGCACGCCGCGCGCGCCAGCGTATCCAGGTTCGCCGATCTCGCACGCGTAAGTCTATCCTGCGACCGTGTCACACAGACGCGCTAACAATACTTTCTACAAATATAGAAAGCGGACAGCCTGGATATTTTGTTGGTGCTGGCCGGCTACGTGCTCATGCACACGACCTTTATTCGCCTCGTCCTCGCCTCGCGCGCGCTGGGCTCCAACTTCTGGCTCACGGCCGCCATTCTATCTTCGTCCATTCTCGCATTCATGCTCTCGCTCCCTCTCGCCCGCAGACTCGGCATCCCGCTCGAACCCGTTTCTTTGATCGAGGCCCTGCCTTTCCTCGTTTGCACGGTCGGATTCGAGAAGCCGCTTCGTCTCGCTCGCGCTGTGTTCGCACACGAGCATGCGCTCGCTCCCGCCGTATCAGAGGGCCGACGCAGGGGCGAGATGAAGCCCACGCCTGTTTTGATCCTCGAAGCGCTCGACCGTACAGGCAACGCCCTGCTCCGCGACTACGCGCTCGAAATCGCCGTACTTCTCGGCGGTGCGTACTCCCGCGTCGGCGGCCTGCGCCAATTCTGCGCCCTCGCCGCACTCCTCCTCGCACTCGACGCCTGCGCTCTCTTGACATTCTACGTCGCCATCCTCGCCGTCATGGTCGAAGTGCGCCGCATCGGGGCATTCCGCGCCATGACACAACGCAGTCGTCGGAATTCGCGGGACGGGTTGACGATCAAGCCTGCGTTGACGCCCTTGCGCCCGTCTGAGGGCAACGGCGTTCCGGAGGCTAAAACGCTCAGCACGCGTTTGAGCGCGAGTTTGCTCGGTCCTAAAGGAGCTGTTCTTGAAGAAGGCGCTGGAGCGGGAGAGGGCAAGAAGGAGAACCCTGTCGCGCGGTTGAAGCTCCTGCTCATCGTGTCGTTCTTAACCTTACACGTTCTAAACCTCTGCGCGCCCGTATTCACCCATTCCGCTTCGTCGACCACTACATCGACGCCCTCTGCGTACACCGATACGAGCGAAGAAGGACTGATCGGCGTTCGGCGCGTGGACCTTGCCGGTCCGGCTGTGGCGTCGGCGCTTGATACGCTCGCCGCGGGCGTCTCGTCTTCGGCCGATGCCGGGAACGGAAGCGCCGTGTTTGTGCGCGTTGCGGCGCCTGTCGTGCTTCGGGTTACGTCGACTGCTGAGGCTGCGCCGGGCAATGGGAGGACGAGCGAGGAGAGCGCGTTGGAGGGGTTTATGAGCGCTTGGACGAGGCTTGTTGGGGACCCGGTGTTGAGCAAGTGGATCGTGCTGTTGCTTGGCGCGAGTGTTGCATTGAATGGGTATCTGCTCAAGGGTGAGCAATTCGACATTTTCATGCCTCCTACGGATACTGATGACATGGCATAGGTCTTGCTGCCGGTACTGGATCAACTCGCGGCGTACTTGGCCAACCAGGAGGCGGCGCCGTCCGCTTCGGCGGTCCCGAGTTCAAAGAGACCGAAGCCGCCACCCGGCCCTCCGCCACCTCCACCGCCGTCAAGCCCAGCGGCACCTCACACACGAACGGACACGCAAATGGCTGGGCCGACCCTCTCAAAGCCGTCGAGAAGCCCGAGAAACCCGTTCAGTTCTTCGAAGCACCGCGCCGCGCACCTCCGCCGCTCGCTATTCCCCAACCTTTGGCGTTCCCTACAACATCGAATATTGTCAAGCCTGAGCCTGTTCGGCCGCTACAGAAGGTCGCGTCGTCGACTGGCATAAGCAATATGCTCGAATCTGTCGACGCGCGGTTGAAAGCGCTCGCTCCTGGTCCTACATCGTCATCGTCTTCGGACGACGGGAAGCTTGTCACTGAGAGCCTGACCGTACGCACTCTGGCCGAATGCGTGGACATCTACGAGAACGGGCCGAGACCGGCAAGCGTCGCGCTTGCGAGTCTGAACGACGAGGAAGTCATCCTCCTAGCACAAGCGGGCAAGATCCAGGCATATGCGCTCGAGAAGGTACTCGGCGACTTAGAACGGGCCGTCGTCATCCGCCGCGCGCTCGTCTCGCGCGCAAGCGCGACAAAGACGCTGGAATACTCGGACGTGCCGTACGCGAACTACGACTACTCGCGCGTGATGGGCGCCTGCTGCGAGAACGTCGTCGGGTACATCCCGCTCCCGTTCGGTATCGCCGGCCCGCTCGTGCTCGACGGCGTGAAGATCCCCGTCCCGATGGCTACGGCGGAAGGCACGCTCGTCGCGTCTACGTCGCGCGGGTGTAAAGCGCTCAATGCTGGCGGAGGCGTCAAGACGGTTATCACGGCCGACGGCATGACGCGCGGGCCTGCGCTGGACTTCCCGAGCGTTATGTTGGCCGCCGAGGCCAAGGCGTACATCGACTCTACATCAGGGTACGAGGAGCTCCGCGAAGCGTTCGAGAGCACTAGTCGCTTCGCGAAGCTGCAGAGCATGAAGACGGCCCTGGCGGGACGCACGCTGTTCGTCCGGTTCAAGACGACGACCGGCGACGCGATGGGCATGAACATGATCTCGAAAGGCACGGAAAAGGCGCTCGAGAAGCTCACGGAGAAGTTCCCCGCTATGGTCGTCCTCGCGCTCTCGGGCAACTACTGCACCGACAAGAAGCCCGCCGCTATTAACTGGATCGAGGGTCGCGGCAAGTCTGTTGTTGCTGAGGCCGTTGTGCCAGGTCAGGTCGTGAAGAGCGTGCTCAAGACTACTGTTGCCGCCATGTGTAATCTGAATG